AAAAAAAAAGACATACAACTCTCTTGCCAAAGATCTGCCCCAACAACAGCGTGAGATGCCAACACGTTTGTCTACACAATTTTTTACATGACAGCTTTTTTGTCCTATAACGGATACACAACCAATGGTCAAAGTAATTATGGGTTAGAACAGCCTCAGGGTGACCCCGCAGGCCGAGACAGGACAGAAATGAGTCTTTTGGTTTGGGTTTTCGAGGTTTGGGGAGGGGGGGGGGGGGGTGTTTGGTTTTGGCAAAAGCGGAGAGAATGTACAGTGCTGTATCTAAATAATGCTTGGACCATAAAAGGCTGCACAGCCAAACCAATCTGGGGGGAGAACAGCTCTGCCACTGGAAAAATCTCCTGTAAACTGAAGAGAAAAACATTCCTTGGCTGGGCAGTAAGGGTGCAGGGAGTTTTAAAAAATAAAAAACGGACAAATGAAGCGTCAGTAAGAAAAGGACGTGAGCTTCGTAACAACTCAATGACCAAAAAATGCCACGTTATTTTCCTTTAGATGAATGCTGAAGAGGCTGCGAACACCCTGTAAAATAAATTAATGAGGATGCAGAACAAGCTTTGCATTTCTGGAGGTTTCCTCTCACGTCTTTGACAACAGCAGCTTAAGACTAAGGAGGCACAAACCCAGCACAGCACATCAGCCCCTCTGTTACAAAGCCCGTGCTATCAGATCAAGTGTTTCCAGAAACGTAAAATGCTTTACAGTGAGAGGTGCTAAACTTCAACAGAATTGTTACCCAAATTGGAATGGTTCTCAGTGATCCGAGGCCAGCTTGCCAGACCTTGCACACAAACTGAAATGCAGCTGCATCGGCGGCAGCTAAAACATTAGCTAGCAACACACTGGGATTAAGAGGGTTTCCAATTTCCCTTCTTTTTTGTCTTCTTTTTCTTTTTTTTTTTTTAAACTTCTCCTGATTATAAAAATCAACTCATGATAATCTGTGACACAAAATTAAGTACATCCTTCTACTATCTACATGCATGGACATGGTACATGTGCATACAGGATATGTGCATATATACGGGTCTATTTTCTAGATAAATAAATATTTATACCACATTTAACTTCTGTGTATCAAATACCTTCACTAAAGCTACAGAGAGAATTTATAGAATGGCATTTCCAATGTAAGCCTCCTCAGGGCAGGTCAGACAGGACCCGGCGCTAGGCCACCACCAGTTGCAATACACCACTCCCCCCCCCCCCTCAGTTCGTTACATCGAAGCTTCTGTGACCATCAAATTTTATATAATGAAGAGGAAAAATGTGGTATAAATCTAGGGTAGCTAGAACAAAACTTACTTCCACTCTAATTTAGGTAATATCCAGTTCTGCATTGCTCAGCAAGGTGTAAATTTTGAAGCTCTCTCTAATTCACAAAGAAAAGCTGCTTATTTTTATTGCCTGTGGCAAGTGTCACTTTACGCACACGCCGAACAGGGACTACCTTCATCAGTCCCATGGCAGAACGAGGAACTGTAGACTTAGGAAAAATATTTCTCTGTACCATTGCTCGGTAGATGCCGCCTTCTTACGCTGACGTGGTACAGTGCCTGCACGCGCACGCCCCCAGCGAAGCCCATCAGCCACTCTCCTGCTCTCAGAGACAAGGTTCGGAAACCCAGCTAAAATAGACAAGACTTATTCAGAAATAATACAATACTTTTACAGAGGAAGAATGGTGCGTGGTCAACCTTTCTTTGAAAACTTCCCAGGTAGGTATGTACATGATTCTCATGACTTTTGTGGGGGTAACAAGCGCTAAGAGCAAACAGCAACTGAAAAGCATGGAAAAATATGAGAAAAGTTTGCCTATATGGACCATCCCCGCTCCCTTCAAGCTCACACACACTCGCTCTTTTCCCTCCCCTCAACGTGAGCCAGAGTGCGCAGAGAGGGGGTGAACGTGAGCAGCCAAGAGGTTGAAAGCAGGGTCTGCAAGTTCCTTCCTACTGTAGATCTTGGAAGACTGGATTTCCAGTCAACACCAGAGTCTTCTTACTTCTGCTGGTAACAATGGAAACTGGGGGACACCATTTGTTCTAGTCTGTTGAAAACAGGTCACCAGCAGACGGCAGAGGTGCCAGACCTCCTGTGACATTGGGCAGCAGCGACAGATCTGGAAGGCTCTGGATGTGGGATTTCAGCTCCTTGCGGACCTGGGTTACCCGAGCAAGCTTCTGTTTATATTCCTGAGGGAGAGAGACAAGAGAACGAAGATTAAGCACAGGTTAATTAACAGTGCTGTTAGTTAAGCTAGGAGTATTTTCCAGGTGAGGACTCTGGGAGAAGGTGGCAAGGCACTGGCTCTCTGAGCAACTGCTGGCATGCCTGCAGACCCCGTCATCAGCACCCAAATCCACAGCCTGGTATCAACAGAAAGTCCACGAGCTTTGGCATCCCAAACCCACCCATCCTGCCCTGTGTCACTTTAACAGAACTATGGAAAACGCCCCCAAACCTGCACCATCGGGGCCGGTAGAGTATTTGAGAGAAGTCTCGTTGCATAGCTGCTCTGTTCCCGCTTTCTTCCCCAGGTTACTGACTTCCACCCATGGCTGGAGGAGGAAGGCTAACAGAGCACTCCCCAGACACAGAGGCAGGTGTACACCAGAGGCATTAATTAATATTACTGTGCTGCCAAAACACTCGGGTTTTGTCATACTTGATCAAATTTGAATGTTTAGGTAATCCCGTTTTGCCTTTCAAGTCATTACATCAAAAGTTTTGGTTGTGAAACGGGGTCTCCTCTACAAGTTGTTAGACAATTTCCTGACAGCAACCGCAGTGGCGATACCATGAGACCGGCGTGTTAGCAAACAGCACAAACACGTCTGTGATCACTACGTATAAACCAGGGAAAGCCACATCCACGCTGGATTGAATCCAAGCAAAATACAGACACTGAAATTTTCAGAAATTTATTACAAAGGGAGAAAAAACAGTAAGTGAAAAATCCCTGAAGAGGAAACTTCCAAGTAGTTTTCCCACAAATGAGGTCTGGATTGAGCATTAAAACTCCAATGAGAAATACCTGTCCATCTTCAGAAATCCCCACAGTCTAAGAGGCAGCAGGTAACAGTGACCAGTCTTTCATAACGAGAAGAGATAGGAAGAGCATGGACCCCGACGATGGAAGAACGAACCGTACCTTGTTCAATCCTGTTGAGAGGTCGCTTAAGAGCGGACCAACCCCCCCCCCCCAGTTATCCAATACAGAAGTTTAATCAAAGATTGATGTCTATATAATTTTCAGAGGTCTGTGATTCTAAAGATTTATGCCACAGACGACAGCTATGTAAGTAACAAAACCCCAGTATCCCATCATTTCTTTTGGAATGCACCAGTCTTTACCTGACTACGCATGGCGTATTTTTCATGGCACCTCCAGGATGCAGGAAACCATGAGCTTAAGAGAAACAGTACCCGGAATGGGCTTCCGTGCAGTCAGTCCTGACATCAACTTACTTAATTACTCAGGAAAGAGAACAGTTTACCAGAGAACAGAAGTTTATCTTTGGAGACCAAATAAAACTAGGCACACGTTTAATCAAAACATCTTTTTGAAGAGCTTACAACTTTAATCCAGTCTTTCCAACCTTCCCAGTGATGGAAATTCCCTTCACCTTCTCCAAGCATCAAAGCAGAGCAGTTCCTGTGAGGTTACGAGCGATGAGTTTACACTCCCTGGGTTTCATTACGTGGAATTAGAACAGCGAGAGCAGCAGCCGATTACAACAGCTCAGAATACCCCTGCGCCCGGAACGGCTATAGAAGTGTGTTCCATAAATTTCCTGCCAGCACCACGTAAGAATGCCCTTTAGCAGCCTATTTGCAAACCGAAACCCTTTTACGAGGCTCAGTGAGTTAACGTATCATCATAACCAAACGCTTCTGTTAATGTACACAGGATATATACCAAAGTCATCAAGTTCAAGCAGAGCTGTACCGGCTTCATAAACTAAAGGAGACCGTTCTCCAGCCGAGAAGAGAACAATGACCAAGGAACCTCAGGAGAAGCCATGCCCATTAATTTAGGATTGTATCTGTGTTGTTTTAATGGAAGGCACAGAATCAGGATCAAAATGCGAATGCACCCCCCATCCCTGGTCACACCATTTTAGGAGATACTTAAATAGGGAAACCAGTCAAGAAAGTCATGTTATGAAGACAGGGAACAAAAGCAGGAAAACGCTCCGGTTTTTTAAGCACGAGTACAGAACAAAAGCAGATGAACAGGAGACCGTAGAAGTACTGCACTCCGATGCTTCGCATACTTCTCCAAGAGAACGTGGAAGCCAACGCTGGGGAAAGAGAGAGATGGTAACGGCGTGCTCTGCTCCAGGCCGGCGCGTCCCCAGCAACCTGGGGCAGGGAGGCAGCAGAACACCAGCACATATAGGATATAGATGGGGCAAATATTTATGGTATTAAGGCATTCCAAAGCTTACAGAAAGAAGGTGCAAGAGGCTGGATTCAGAGGCTGCTTTTTGCCATTCCCAGAAGACTGGCTTAAAAAAA